CTAGAATCCAAGTGGAAAAAGAAGGAAGGTGGATTTGAAGGGGACTTACGTTAGTTTGCTCAATGCTGTTATATTTCTGAGCCTGATGATTGCATGGATGGAAAATCAGCCTTTGCTCTTCTTTGGCTTTTGACAAGACCTACTAAGGTTGCCTAAGAACACTTTTCCTGCTCCAAAATATTTCTCAATTCCTCCATATCAATCCCTGTATCCTCTTTAACGGCGCTTCAAAAAGAGTGATCATAAGAATTTAATTGATACTTAAACATTTTATCCAACTACTTTTATAGAACGTTTATTGAAGAAAGAAGAGTGAATCGAAATGTGGCAATTTAGACAAGAAAATGCTGGGCAGCACTCAGTCTTTTGTGTGAGATTACCATGGACGCTTTTATAGCTTCGCAGGTGCCAGATGGGTTTCTCGAGTAGCGAATGTTTGTTTTTGCTTCCTTTTTAGGTTTTTTTTTCGCGAAAACTGCACCTCACCGAAAGTATGAACACACACTCGAAAAGCTGAAGCGAAATGACAGGGGCACCCAACGAGGATATAGTTCAAAACCACTTAAGGCGACTCGACCCAGTTTTTTTGGGGGGGGGTACCATCCTACTTTGAAGCTCTCTGGTATCCCCATCTTTACTTTTATCGTAAGTCTAACACAGAATGGATAACATATAGATCAATCTACAATATAACATAAAATTTTGGGCGATCGGAGTAAATGTCACGTTGTTATAATGCCACGCCCCTTTGAGGTCTGACTCGAAAATCTGCTGTTGCCGGCATTTTTTCGTGAAAATCTCTCGGCTACACATAGTGCGCATTAGTGCCTTGCTCTTAACAGAGTTTCACCAAAATCGCAAAGACCCAATTCGAGAAATTCAGCGGTTTCCAAATTTAGGTCATAATTTATGCGAAAATGATAAGCAAACTTTACACGGATTATATCTAATAAAGTATGAGATTCATCCCTTTATTTTGGGCATTGTTAAAACAGATGGGTCCTTGCAAGTCAGAAAAACGCTTTAGGGCCTTGTAAATGCGCGCGATTTCGAGCAAAGCAAAAATATAGAAATTATAGTTTTCGCCATTTGTTGACGTTGGTCAGCGTTTAAGAGTCCTTCTCACGCAAAAAAGCATTTTCTTAAAAATTCGTAGTTTTTTTTCCTTCAAATTTTTTCAGGGCCACAATTGATTAACTAACTACCCGGACTGTGAATTTCATGGTCATTGAAAAACTGTGACACTATCTTCTATAAGCCCAAACTTGAGTAAACATTGAAGATTTTTAGCGTTTTGGCTCCGTTTGTGCTCTGGGAGTTGTCTATTGTTTCTAGTCTGTCATGATACAGCATTCTTGTTCAGCACGCGTGCAATGACCGCGCTTGGCTGACTTCCGAATGCTCATCGAGATATGATAATTTTGGTACAGTGAGAAAGGCCATCGCGTGATACATAGAGGCTTAACTCACAATTTTTAATCAATTCTCGTGCTTCTTGTGCCTTTGCAAAAAAATCAAATCTCAAACTAAACCCAAAGCTTCTAACGATGTTGTACCATTTGTTGTCACATATAACCCAGCACTTCTTCGCATCTCTAATATCCTACGCAAACATTTTAACATCTTACACTCCTCTAACCGTTGCAAAGACGTCTTTAAGCAACCGCCTTTTGTTGCTTACAGACGTAGCTCTAATCTTCGTGACCTTTTAGTTAAAGCACAACTACCCGTTATCTCCACCAATCATTTTCCGCCGGGCTCCTTCCGCTGTGGACAGAATTGTGCCACTTGTCCATACATTACTAACGGCCTAACAAGTTATACCTTTTACGCTACAGGTGAAACACGCTCCATCACTTCACACATTACTTGTAACACTAAAAATGTTATCTACATGGTTCAATGTACCTTATTCTCCTTTATTTTCGCGGGACTTAAATTTCGCGAAAATTTTCTCGGCACATTTCGCGAGTCTTTAATTTCGCGATCGCGGAGAAAAATTGTGTTTGCAGGGAATTTAATTTCGCGAAATTGACGATTAAGTTACTTTATTTTTTCTTTTTTGCAAAAATTGTACGTTAATCAACAGTTGAAACAAAACCAATATGCTGTCCCTTAGCGGCAGCCGTATTCCTCTTGTTCTTCCGAGTCGTCATGGAGTATCGAGAGTATCGTTACATGTCCTTTCTAGGAGATCTCAACAGAACCTTCAGTCTCTTCAAATGGATCCTCAGGGGGAATACTAAACGATTCATCCAATAGTTGGGCGATGCCTGCCTTTTCCCACCCTTTAGTGATGTGACAATTTTTAAAATTTTTAAAACTAAACTAGTGAGCAGCACTCTGCGAACTGTTGCTGTAAAACTTGTTTATTCTCCTACGCGTTTCGTCTAACTAACGTAGACTTATTCAGGGAGTTTTACAATCAAGTACTAAACACCTGTTTTAAGCCATAATATGACTAAAACTAATGATGGAAATTTTTTACGCGAGGCGTGAGAAAACTTTGGGGCCACGGTTTTAGCTAAAATAAGTAATAAACAAGTTTTACAGCAACAGTTCGCAGAGTGCTGCTCACTAGTTTAGTTTGAAAAATTTTAAAAATTAACATCTGAAGTTGATAGATGATAGCCGGCCTTGTACTAACACCTTGTGTTAAAAATTGTTTAGGACCCTTGAAAACACAAATACATGATTTTCTATGTCCATTAAATTTCGCGAGATCAAAGTTCGCGGTCGTTATTTTTCGCGGGTCTTTAAGTTCGCGAATTTTTTAAAATTGCGAAAATCGCGAATTTAAGAACCCACAAAAATTAAGGAGAATAAACTGTTGTAATTTACAATATATAGGTGAAACTAAGCGACGTCTCAAGGACAGATTTAACGAACACAGACGTGCAGTCGACAAAACTAACATTAAATCTAAACCCACTACTGTTTCTGAACACTTGTCTCACTCTAACCATTCTCATACTAACATGCAGTTAATCCCACTAGAAAAAATTCATTCTTCACGTGACTCAGTTCGTAAGGCCAGGGAGTCGCATTTGATAGATAAGGCCATGACTCTTGAACCTCATGGCCTAAACCGCCGTGACGAATTATTGTAATCCATATCCTTAGTATTTTTCCTTTCCAGTTTTTATGTTGTACGTCATTTCCGCCTCTCCCTTTTATTGCGACATTCTCCATCTATAATAATATTGTGATTGCTACATAAGTTCAGTAACATCTGTAAACCTGAAGAGGGCTGGTATGGCCAGCCGAAATATTGTTATAAGAAACAATACACGTTGTTTTAAATCAGCTTTGCTGTAGTCTTCGGACTTCTCGTTCATGAATCTCATAGTTCATCAGATATAATCCGTGTAAAGTTTGCTTATCATTTTCGCATAAATTATGACCTAAATTTGGAAACCGCTGAATTTCTCGAATTGGGTCTTTGCGATTTTGGTGGAACTCTGTTCAGCGCAAGGCACTAATGCGCACTATGTGTAGCCGAGAGATTTTCACGAAAAAATGCCGGCAACAGCAGATTTTCGACTCAGACCTCAAAGGGGCGTGGCATTATAACCACGTGACATTTACTCCGATCGCCAAAAATTGAATGTTATATTGTAGATTGATCTATATGTTATCCATTCTATGTGTTAGACTTACGATAAAAGTAAAGATGGGGATACCCTTCAAAGTAGGATGGTACCCCCCCTAAAAAACTGGGTCGAGTCACCTTAACATAGCATTGTTGAACGTAGTTTAGTATTCAAACAGTAGATTTAGGCATATTTTTATCCCCTAAAAACTTTTCATCTGTTCGGGTTTCCTAGCTGAAAGTCTAGTGATCCGAAAATTATAAGGATAAAAACTTACCTTCTCGAAAACTTCAGCCAGGAAAAGGCTCCCGAAAATTCTAGGTGGCCTTTTTGAGGGTCAAAATCCGTTAAAAATGGGTAATTATACCATTTTGTAGATGTTCGAAAATCCTAGGAGAGGCAGGCAAGCAAGAAATTTTACAACAAATGCTCCGAAAATTCTAGATCTCAAATCGTCTTCCGAACAGATATTTTCCCGAAAATTGCCGTTGGGTGCCCGTGAAATGATTGTTTTCTTTCAATGTCTATGGAAACCCATTTCGTCACAAACAGCGCTCTGAGAAGAGTTTTTTTTTTCGAATGCTCGCACAAAGACATTCTGATAGCTTATTTCGTAATATATTTTGAATTCATACTTAATTTAGCATTCTTTTTCCAATCCGCCTCAAATCAAGTGTTCTCATAAAAAAGCAAAACAAAAAACAAAAAAAAAACCTTTCTTAAAGCACATTAAAAGGATAATCATATAAGCTTAAGCTTAATTTTTTTTGGAATAAAAGCGTTGAAAATCGCTTAAACTCAAGTTTAAACAATTATTATCCCGCCGTTCCATGGAAATAGACACGAATTGCTTTTCAAAATTCTTCAACAAAGGAGGTTGATCCAAAGAGCCAGGTCATGCCCCCATTCTTCTGCGCTTTTCTCCCCCTGCTCGACACTCTCCCCTTTTTTCGCGCCTGACGCGCGGGCTATGCGTCATAAACCGTTGTGTCATTCTCGTTCTCAGAGAGTAGCCTGCACGCAAACTCTCCTTTTTGGGCTAGTCTGCAAAACAGTCCGTATTTTTGCGTATTCAAGTACCCGCGAGCAGTCAAACAAAAGGTCTGAAAAAATAATAATAATAAAAAAAAAAACTCGCCTCACACGCCCGTCGCGCGCGTAAGACTCTTTTACACCACGCTTTACCGATTTCTTTACTGATTTTTAGAAAAAAAAACCCGACTGTTTTCGGGACGAGGTTGGATATCCCCCATGAGAGAGCAGCTGTGTGAATAGCTGTGTCAGCTGTGATCTCTCAAGATCATGCGCGGTTGGATAATTTTTCGCGCCCTTCACAGTGATCGCTTTGCGGGTGAAAAAGGCGTTTATTTTCCTTATCATTTAACTGATTTAAACTTGTGCATTATCATGGTCTTGATCGAAGATTCATCGTGGGAACCAATCAAAGAGACTGACAAGCAACAGTTTTGCGTGGAAATGATGAAACGTCTTCATATTCAAAGAAAGAATGAGCAGTTCTGCGATGTTGTGTTGGAGGTGTGCAACGGCGAGGATCAAGCTCGCTTCAACGCTCACAGGGTCGTATTATGCGCAGGAAGCCCATTTTTCTACAGTGCCCTTAACAATGACATGAGAGAGAGCAAAGAAGGACTTATTAGATTAGAAGATATGAGCAAAGTTGCGATCGAGGAATTGTTAGACTATCTCTACACCGGACACGTGGATGTCACGCAAGACAACGCGTTCGATTTGTTCAAGATTGCCGATTTTTTGGTGATCCCCAGTTTGAAAGAGATTTCAAGCAAGTTTATCATACAAACATTGTCTTCTTCAAACTGTCTCATGGTATATTATTTGGCTGTGAATTATCGGTGCATTGAATTACAGGAAAAAGCGAGAGATTTTATCTTTGCAAATTTCGCCAGCGTTGTCGAACACGAAGACTTTCTGAACTTAACCCTCAGCGAGGTGGAAAAGTGGATTTCAAGCGATGAAATCAGTGTAAGAGGAGAAGAGGACGTTTTTCAGGCAATTGTGAAGTGGGCGGAACAAAACGGGGACGGAGAACTTGAGAAATTTTTTGAATTATTTCGTCATGTTCGGCTTATTTACTTGTCACGTAACTATGTTTTGAATGAAATTTTACCACATCCTATGGTAACCGATGACAAAGCATGTACAGCATTTGTCTTAGATGCAATGAAAGAGGTTTCTTCTGGCTGTGAGGAGTGCTTTTTTGCCCAAGCACCAAGAAACTGTCTTAAAACAACAGAAGATTGCCTTGTTGTCTCTGGGATACGTGAAAGAACACTTTGCTACCTTCCTGCTGAAAACAAGTGGTATGAAGTGGCAGAGAAAACAAAGAGTACGAGTTATTTTTATGCGTGTGCTTCTCATGGTAAACTTTATATCAGTGAAAGACCTGGTCTTGATCATAGAATGGATCGATTTGATCCAGTTGTAAACTCATGGGCACCTGTGATGTGTTACAGTGGTCTGACATCGCACCAAGATGCAGCAGCTGTGGTCAATTTCCAAGGGTTTTTGTATGTGATTGGTGGATATAAAGGTGTAGAGACTGTAAGCTGTGTGCATAAGTACAATCCTGAGACAAACCTATGGCAGGAAGTGGCACCAATGAATGTTTCCAGAGGTCAAGTGTGCGCCGTAGCTGACAAGGACACCATATATGCAGTTGGAGGTTCCGCAGATGATCAAATACTGGATGTAGTAGAAAGATTTGACTCCAAAATGAACTCTTGGTGTAGGGTTGCTTCAATGCTAGAGAAGAAATTGCTCCCTTGTGTTGCAATTTTAAATGCTAGAGTGTTTCTATTTGGAGGTTTTACTAGTACTCATCCCATACATGCATCTTCAAGCATTGAGATGTATGACCCAACTTCAAACATGTGGACAGCCATTCAGGGTATATCTGCACCAACACGCTTTTTTAGTGTGACAAGTTTTAAAGGAAGTGTTTATGTTATTGGAAATTGGACCCAGGAAAGTCCTGGTAGTTTCTTGCGGATATATGATGTTGAAAAGAATGAGTGGAAGCACTGCTCAAGTGTACCTGTTGTCTCATGTGGAGTTGCTTTGACTCCTCTGAGAATTCCTAGGGACATTTTAAGCACATGTAAGGTTGTAACATAATAGTGGTAGGTGAATTCTCTAAAGGACAGAATGTTGTGAAGAACTGTAACAAGAAGAAAACTATATTATAGTTGTAATCACCACAGATGGGCCACTTTATGTCATGAAAATTAAAGATGATAATGTTAATTATTACACACCAGTGTTATTTTCATTTTACTAACTAGGGAATTGTTTTAACTGTTTGGTACGATGTTTATGAAATAATGCATTGCTTCACTGAAGAATATTACTTCTGTATGACAATGTTTTATTAATTCTTAAAATAGACACAGGAAGTTGTTGATAAATAAGATCATTGTTCTTGCCAGGAGAAATAAAATTTTGATCATTTATCTGCAGATTACACTTTGTTAGGAGATAATTATCCAGTAATATTTATTATCATTTGTTGCAAATTTTTCTTCCTTTTCACTGGCCGAGAGCTCACCACATGACCTGCAAATAAGTGCCTACAAATAATGGTCTGCTCATGCGCACTGTCATCCAACTTTGTTTGGGTGCAAATAATATTCTGCTCATAGGTAAATGAAACCACACTTTTCTCCTTGTTGCGATCGCTCTTGAGTGAAAATGGCAGATTGCTTCACTTCCCAAAGACATTCCTTAAAAAAAACAAACTCGGTGTTCAAACGATAATACAGTTCATTTAACTCATTTGTTGCAAATATCGCGATTTGTCAGTATCTCGCAGATCAAATTATTATTTGTCTCATTCTTCGGCTTTGGCAAATAATGTTGATCTACTTGCCACTGACAAATCACGATATTTTGCTCAACCTCTTCCAATAATTGTTAAATATTCTCTGACAGTGACCCCTTTGTCAGAATTTGTCAGCCAAACTCCTTCAGCCATTAAGAAAATTGCACTATTTATCAGGACTATCCAGCCAGATCAGTCTAGTCGATGTTTCAGTTGTCCGGAAAGGCTTTTCTACTGTCTAGAATATCGTGAAACACATTTTCCTTTTTTACGTCGCCTAAAATAAAATGACGGAAAAATTTCAAAGTTTTGACCCAAGCCATGGACCGACCTCCTTGAAAAAATGTAATTTTTCAACTTTTTTAAGTAGCTGGTTTTTTTTGTACAGAGAGGCTTTGCTTTCAATCTAGAATATCGCCACACACAAGCTTTTCACCACTTGCTTTCCCCTTTTTCTACGCCTGCCATCAGGCGTATGCAGGAAATGATGGACCGTCGCGTCGTCTCTCAAATCAGCCGCGTCAACAGCTTTGTCAGCTGAGATCTCTCATGATCATGCGCAATTGTATTGTCTTTTCCTCGCCCTTTCGAGGAGAAGAACCACGGTGACCGCATAGTCAGTGGAAAAATCTTTTATTTTCCTTATTACCGATTTTAACTCGTGTATTATCATGGTCTTGATAGACGATTCATCGTGGGAACCAATCAAAGAGACTGATAAGCAACAATTTTGCGTGGAAATGATGAAACGTCTCGATATTCAACGAAGGAACGAGCAGTTCTGCGATGTTGTTTTGGAGGCGTGCAACGGCGAGGATCTTGCTCGCTTTAAAGCTCACAGGATCGTATTATGCGCAGCAAGCCCATTTTTCTACAGTGCTCTTAACAGCGACATGAAAGAAAGCAAAGAAGGACTTATTAGATTAGAAGATACGAGCAAAATTGCGATCGAGCAATTGTTAGACTATCTTTACACCGGGCACGTGGACGTCACGCAACACAACGCCTTCGATTTGCTCAGGATAGCAGATTTCTTGGTGATTCCCAGTTTGAAAGAGATTTCAAGCAAGTTTATGATACAAGCATTGTCTTCTTCAAACTGTCTAATGGCATATTATTCGGCTGTGAATTATCGGTGCAGCGAATTACAAGAAAAAGCGAGGGATTTTATCTGTGCAAATTTCGCGAGCGTTGTCGAACACGAAGATTTTCTGAACTTAACCATCAACGAGGTGGGGGAGTGGATTTCAAGCGATGAGATCAGAGTGAGAGGAGAAGAAGACGTTTTCCAGGCAATTGTGAAGTGGGTGGAAAAAAGGGGGAGCGGAGAACGTGCGAAATTTTTTGAATTAATTCGTCACGTTCGGCTTATTTACTTGTCACGCAGTTATGTTTTCAATGAAATTTTACCACATCCTTTTGTGAACGAAGACAAAGCATGTACAGCATTTGTCTTAGATGCAATGAAAGAGGTTTCTTCAGGCTCTGAAGAGTGCTTTTTTGCTCAAACACCAAGAAACTGCCTGAAGACAACAGAAGATTGCCTCGTTTTTTTTGGACCAAGTAAAACGCTTTGTTATGTTCCCCCAGAAAACAAGTGGTATCAGATGGCAGACAAAACCGAGAGTAGGTCTATGTATTCTGCGAGTGTTTCTCATGGTAAAGTTTATATCAACAATGGACCTGGTGTTGATTATGCTATTGAGCGTTTTGATCCAGCCGCAAACTCATGGTCACCTTTGACGTCGTATTGTGGCCAGATGTCACACTCCTGTGCAGCTGTGGTTCATTTTCAAGGATTTTTGTATGTGATTGGCGGGGAAAAAAAGGGAGAGGTAGCAAATTGTGTACATAAATACAATCCAGATACAAACCTATGGCAGGAAGTAGCAGCAATGAATGTTTCACGATCTTCACTATGTGCTGTAGCTGACAAGGACACCTTATATGCAATTGGAGGTTGTTCAAACATACGAACACTGGATGTGGTAGAAAGATTTGATCCCAAAATGAACTCCTGGTGCAGAGTTGCTTCAACTCTAGAAAAGAGAGAGAACTCTTGTGGTGTAATTTTTAAGAGCAGAGTGTTTCTGTTTGGAGGCTTTACCAGCCGCGAGTCCGTGGATTTATCTTCTTCCATTGAAATGTATGACCCAGTGTCAAACACATGGACAGCCATTCAGAATAGCTCTGCACCAACATGCTGTTATGGTGTCACAAGTTTAAATGGAAGTGTTTATGTAATTGGATTTCAGAGCCATGATCGTTTCTTGTGGATTTATGACCCTGACAAGAATGAGTGGAAGCACTGTGCTAGACTACCTAGCCCAGTGCCAATTTCTTTAGTTCCTCTGAGAATTCCAAGAGACATTTTAAACATATGTAAGGTTGTAGCATAGGTCTTTAAAGTTCAGGATATTGTGAAGAACTGCACCATGAAAAAAAAAAGCTTCATCATAGTCCTAATCACCACAGTTGGGCAACTGTAAAATTTGTATAAAATTTGAAGAAGTTGATGATGTAAAGCACACTCCAGTCTTTTTTTTTTTAAGTGGTAAAATGTGTAAACCTTATGTTACTATGTATTCTGAATTAATTTGCTTCATCACTGAAGGCCGAGCAGAATAGAAGGCAGAGTATAAAGATGTGATCCAACAGGCGGGTGGGACATTTAAGGTATACCCTGCAAGCAGAGTCTCTTTTGATCTTGGCATAGGCTGGAAAAAATTCTTTGTAAAAATTTATAAAATTTAAATAAAAAACGAACACAGAGAATGCCCTGTTTTAAAGTGGAAACCTAATAAAGAGAGCGTGCACTGCATCCCATCTACTGGGGGCCAAGTAAATATAGATAAGCATCTAAAAAAGAAGTTTGAAAATGCAATCCAGGGAGAGATTGCGATAGTCTAGTTCGCTCTTGGTAAAATCTAGTCAATGAATTATAAAAACAAACAAATCAATGGCAGAGACCATTCTTTTTCAACTTAACAGTTTTATAAGCATAAAAAAAACTGTGCTCTAGGCAATAACATCTCTCATAAAACCTCTTTATAGTTATTACAGTTAATAATATTATCTAGTTAATAACCATATTCATATGTACAAAGAATATATTGTTACAAAATAACTTCTGGTCTTCATAATGCCTTTGCATACTTAAATACTGTATAGTACCCCAAAAAGTCTCTAATGTTGTAGAATCTTACATGTGATTGTAAATTAGGAAGCTTAAGCAGAGAAGGTTTTGAGTGACGCACATCAACCAGAAGTGGACTTGTTGCATTCTTTGGCAGGGGTTTTGCCCAAATTTTCAAGCAAATCCTCTCTATAAGAGTAAATAAGAGCGGTAATAACTACAAATCTTTTAGTTATTTAGGCATATTAAAAGGGAAAAGGTCTCCCTTTCGGTTGACGCGCTTCGCTCAAAAACGTCTTTGCTCAAGCTCCCTATTATTGGAAATCGTCTTGTGCAAGGTTCCTCTTAGTCTGAAATGGGGCAATGACAAGGCTGACATTACAGACAAGGCCTCTTTAACAACTCTATACAAAAACTGAAGGTGTTTTTCTATTTTTAAAATAAAATTTATTCAAAACGAACCTCGAGTTGTCTTATTTCCTTCTTGTAATATTCAAAACAACAGTTTTCTCCATGTCTTTACCGCTCAAGGGTAGTCTCCAACCACCCTTCATCCAGAACCTTTCTTTCGCTTGCTCGATTTTGATGTACAAAAGGATTGAATGTTTGCTTAGCAACACTTTACCAAGCTACTAGGTGCTGCCATTCTGACCAGCCAAAACCACACTTGGAAACGTTGTGAATCCTATTTATAGCCAGTGCTATTCCAAAACAGCCCAATCACCCGGATGTGTATAACAGATGTTGGTTGGGTATCAGGCTTTGATTCACGATAAGAACAACACTCAAGGTTTAAAAATAACTAATCGCCTCACATACATATGATAAACACAACGTGTTAGTGACCAAGCATAAGGTCTATGTGACTGCAGCGCTGCGCAGTCAGCGGTATGTTGTAAAAGCTTAGCAGCCGCACCAGATTTTAGTAAGCGGCCGCCATGTTAGCCCTTTCTCGTGTTGTTCAAGTTTTTGGATAGTTATCGCCATCCATCGGACATTATACGGCCTAAACGGTAAGAACTGTTAAAAGAACATTTTACGGAAAATCCCAAGAGAGTATTTCACACGACATTTTGAAGTTTAGTACTTACGAATCACGTATTTAGCCTATCATGTATTTGTCATGTCAGATTGTTATCTCGGGACTCAGGATCCAAGAACTAAGGAGTAAAAAGAATGTGTTGTACCGAGGACCTGTGAATAAACTACGTTTGGGACGTTCGTGTTGATTGTTAGCAACTCCTCTTGTTGTATGTACTACGGGAGGCCAGCCACAATAACAATCGTGAGACGATCTTCGTGTAGCAGTCATGTCCGTCAACAAAGAAGCAAGACCCGAAGACCAGGTCAATGTGGCGCTGGAAGAAGAAACTGATGAATCAAGGAAGCGTTTCCTGACGGAGAAAGGGTATACGTATCAACTCAACTTGAGAACAAGTAACTTGAAAACTAAGAAATGTGAACTGGTGAAGCGAATGAGAGGTACTCTACTGAAGCGAGGTCAGTCAACTAAACTAGTAGAATTTAAGAAAGAATTCAGCGAAGCTCAGATTTTGTATTGCGAATTTCAAGACATGGTTGAAGAGATTAAGGTTTTTGCGAACCCAGATGAGAATGTGGAAAATATTGAAAGAATGGTTGATCAAGTTGGCAGAGAATGGTCAAATTTTGAGTGTGACATTAGATCAGAGATAAAGTTTCTGGAATTTGTCGAACACCACGTGGATGATTCAATCTCTGAAGCATCCAAAAGGTCCAGTCGAGCATCCAAGAAAAGTAGTAGGTCAAAAATAAGTTCCAATGATAATGTTGAAGAAGATAGGTTTCAGTTACGAAAGGAGGAAGCTGCCTTAAAGGCTAAACTGGCCTATATAGAGAAGGAACGGTTACTGAGATTAGAACACAGAAAGACTGAGTTGACCAAATTAGAACAAGAAAGAAAGTTGGAAGAGCTAAGATTACAAAGTGAACTTGCTCAGAATCAAGCAAAAGCTTAATGTATGCATGTCAGCAGATAAAGTAGAACTGTTTGATGATCAGGATCTAAACTCGATTCCCCCGCTGATAAAGTCAAGGACATGGACAAATTCCTTAATTCAATTCCAGTCACAAGTAAGAGTGATCTCTCTCCTGGTCAGCAAGAACCTATCTACTCTTCAACTCAGTTAAATGGAGCCCAACCCACTTTCAGTCTTCCGCGTGTAGAAAATGGAGTGCACAGTACGTTAAGCCCCAGTGCCACACCCTTTCAACCACACTCTGTCGTCTTAGAAAAGTGTATGGACAAATTAGTGGAAACAAGTAGTATGTTGGTGGCAGCTACTATGGAGCAGAACCTAGTGAACAGGCAACTAGCAATCTCAGGGCAACTGCCTAAGATTTCAATCCCAGTTTTTAGTGGAGATCCTTTGGAGTATCCTACATGGAACAGTTCCTTCAGTGCCCTTATTGATTCCAAACCAATGGACGCGCAGACAAAATTGAACTTCCTACATCAGTACATCTCAGGAAAGCCCAAACAAGTTGTTGATCAGTATATGTTAATTGGTACTGAAGATGCCTATCAGTCTGCGAGAAAGTTGTTAAAGGAAAGGTATGGTAACTGCAATGTAGTAGGGACAGCCTTTATGAACAAACTGGAGAACTGGCCTAAGATTGGCGTAAGAGATGCGGAGGCCCTAAGAGATCTTTCTGACTTCCTGCAAAAGATAATTGCCGCCAGAGAAACTACTCCTAGTCTTGCTGTCTTAGACTTTGCGAAGGAGAACGTTAAAACTCTAAACAAGTTGCCATTTCAAATTCAGAATAAGTGGAGAGGAATAGTACAACAGTGTAGAGTCTCAAAAGGAAATGGTACTTACCCTACCTTCTCTGAATTTGCTTCATTTGTGAAAGAGTGTGCAGAGAGCGAACATTCCCGAACTTGAGGAGCTGTCCAAAACCAAAGAGTTTGTTAGGCCTAGAGGACCATTCAGACGCTCACCAAAAGGCGAGGAGGCCTTTTCCTTCGAAACTCATGTATTGGATCCAAGCAAGAACGTGACTGCCCAGGGTCAAGGTGAAAAGGAGAGACCCCCAACCTGTTCGCAAGGGAGGAGCGAGAAGAAAAAGACCGAAGTATGTCTGTTTTGCAAGGAAGAACATCAGCTAGACGAGTGTAAAAAGTTTGCAGAGAAGCCGCACAAGGAAAGGAAGGACTTCTTCTATAAGAAATTTCTTTGTCTTGGATGTGCCTCTAGCAGTCAACATCAAGTATCCTCCTGTAAGAACAGACTTAAATGTCGCACGTGTTCTGGAAATCACCCTACATGTCTCCATATTCAGAAAACTCCCAAGGAAAGTATTACGAACTGTACAAATGTTTGTACCATCCCAGAGCAAGAGGGCGGCTCGGATCATGCCATGATTGTACCTGTTTGGGTTAGACAAGTTAGCCAACCCAGTAAAGAAGTCTTACAATATGCAGTGCTAGATGACCAGTCCAATGTGAGTTTTGTGTCGCAAAGTTTGTGTGAAAAATTGGACTTGCAAGGCCCACCAACCGACTTGCTGCTGACAACAGTGCAAGAGAGAAATGTACATGTACCAAGCAACCGTATTTGTGGAGTTGAGGTGTTGGATTTTAGAAGGGAGCATGCTGTGAAGCTACCCATGATGTTCAAGCGAGATATCATCCCAGCCAGTCGGTCGCAGATTCCAAAAGCCAGTGTTGCCCGGAAATGGGAACATCTGTGTCCTATTGCTGACGAGCTCATGCCCTACAATCCAAGTGTGGAAATCTCCTTGCTGATTGGCAATAATTGCCCTAGTATCGTCAGACCCAGAGAAGTCCTAGTGGGAGGTGAAGACGACCCTTACGGCCAAAGATCTTTAATGGGGTGGGGTATAATCGGCAAGGTGTGCAAATCTACAGGTGAAGCCAACCATAAGGAAGGAGTGTGCAACAAGGTGATGGTCAAAGAAACCCATGAACACTTTGCCTTTACGACAAAGGTGAAAGAGATTATGAACCCACAGAAGATTATTAAGATTCTTGAGTCAGACTTTACAGAAAGTTCTGCAAATACCAAGCCCTGTTCAGCTGAAGACAGGAGATTCCTCAACATCCTTGAGAATGGTATTGTGAAGAGATCGGATGGGCACTACGAGATGCCTCTCCCTTTGAAGACAGACAAACCGTCTCTACCCTTCAACCGCGAACTAGCTGTCAAGAGATGGCACCAACTTTTAGCAAGGTTTAAGAGAAACCCCAAGTTTCTGGAA